TCACTGCATACATCTTCTGAATATTTGCTCTTTCTTGCAGCCATGCTTTGTGAAGGCAGATTGTTGATCATGACCTACTGTGAATTCGAAGAGCTGGACTCCCTTCCTTCTGAGCCAGCTTTCCAGAATGCTTATGGGTCACAGAAAGCAGCTGCTGCCCTCATACCAGCTTCCACCAGACATGCTCCGCTTGTTCATCACAGTTCCCCGGAGAAGATGGCTACAGACAACCGAAGGGCTTCAGCTGAGTTGTACATTTCTCCTTTGCAGTCCTTAGATCTTCAGAGAGCTCATCTAGGCAGGCAGATCTCTCGAGAGATAGAGATCCCGGCCCAAGCTCACTCAGGTGGCGATACCCCTTTCTTGGTTCCCTCGTTCTGTCAGAGCTTTTGCAAAAACTACAGTGACCTTCATATTGCAGGTGACCAGGTGCTGCCTCTCTCAGCTAATAATTGCGAGCTGAGGGTTTGTGCCAATGTCTTGGATGTTGGTCCCTTTATCCAGTCTTGTGATGTGCCCCCAGCTGTGGAAGATTCCCTCCAAGGACACGAAGCTCGGGATGGGATGCTGTTTCCACTGAGGGGAGGTTCGAATCGGTGGAGACTGGGGAGCGGCCGTGATCGGAGCTTTTTGCTCCAGGGACATGAAGGTCCATTTTCCAACTCCCTTCTGAATCACTACCTGGAGCAAAAGCTCCTGGATCTGTATCAGCAATACATGATGGAGAATATGGCAAGAGAAGGAGCCCCTGGTTCAGACTCTGACACAAGTGCCATTTGCCCTTTACTGGGCTCAGAGCTGGTCCTCACCAGCCTGGACCAAATCACTTTGCAGCTCAGCCGGGAGGGCAACATGGAGGCCGGCTTGGCCAAGGACATGGTCCTGAGCTGCTTCCTGCGAGTTGCTGGTGATATGCAGTCAAGTGAGATCAGTACTCCCTTTCTGCAGATTTCTAATGAGGCATCCAGGGAGCAACTCAGAGAGAGTAATGAGTGACCCCACTGTCAAGGAACTCCTTCATTCAATACTGCCTTTCATTTCAGTACAACACTGAAAAAACCCAGGATTGGACTGATAACCACATTTTTATTTTATTAGCTCTTGAGAGGATGTTAAATGAGAGTTCTACGTGGGATTATGCAGTAATTACCTGGAAAATGTGCCGTATTTATGCATCCTAAATTGAATTTGCAGTGATGACACTGGGATCTGTGTTTACCTGTCTTTAGTGCAGCTTTAACTTTCTAAAGAAAATAAAAACAGGAACTGAAAACTGAAACCGCTGCTTCCCGTTTTTCAAAAGAACATCGATGGTCTAGCAGGACAACACGAAATCAAACACAGCACGCTGCCTCTTTATGTATTATGTGCAGCCACATCTAAGATCATTTTGCATGCTTAATGATCACTGATTAATTAGATTTGACTCTTTTTTTTTCATAAAGCAAACAAGGCTGTTTATGATCAAACTAGGAGGGAAGACACTGAATTTGCAACAAATATCCAAAAGTGCAGCCTCAAAATGCCCTTTGATCAACACGCTGTCATTCTAGGCTTCACACAGCGACTTCATCGGCTCTGTTACCTAAAAATGTAGCTGTAACCAAGTGCTGCATGAGCCGTTTGCTACCCCAGTCTCCCCATTAGGACTGCAGATGTAAAGAATTTGATTTCATGATGTCTGAGCAGCACATGAAAAGAGAACACATGCTTTAACGAAACAGATTTTCTATTAATTCAAAAATCATCATCCATGAGTGTAATTGCTCCTTAAGAATGAAAAGAAAACTCCACGAGCTGACTATTTCCCCCTCCTCCACTCTTCCTTGAACTCAGCTGTATGATGAGGACAAAGATGAATCAAGACCGCTGAAAATGATTGAAAGAAAACAAAGGCACTTTTGTACATCTCATGTCATTTATTCTCTTGTCTTGCAGATCTCTTTTCCCCTTACTGACTCATCCACAGATTAATATCCCACCCTTGATGAAATGACTTACATTATAATGTGACTTATGAATGGTCCCTCTCTCTCTATGTGTCATTTTATGTGTTATGTAGCCAATTAGAAACATTTAATAACCCCTAAGGACTCTAATTCGTTTATATAATTGTCCTTTTGATCGTCTGACTCTCTGGTGTTAGCATGAAATACTATAGATCATGGTTTTGGAGGCTACTCTGAAATCCATTTAAATGATGACTTTAAGGGGGTCGGATTCTTGCCTCCTTAAGTAATTAGCGCGAGAGGATCCCTTTAAAAATCAGTCACCTGAAGCACGATTCGGAGTTCCTCTGTGAGCTGTAGAAAAAGGCTCTGACCGTCTGATTGCCCGCTGTTCTGACCTACTCCCACAAACCTTTCTGATCTTCTGCGAACCCATTCACAGCCAGACCCAGCGCTTCATCCTCCATCCCCGCCGCACTGCCGTTTACTGATAACATGTTGTTTAACCTCAGACTTCTCTTCACCTGCTCAAATAGATTTTATCCAGTATCCTCGGTTACTGGCTTCTTTTAGGCAAAAGTTGTTTACATCTCTGAGAAATCATACTTGCATTTTTTTATAGCTCAGTCCTTTAGGTCATTCCTCTTTTATCATGTTTCCACGCCTCAGTGTCTTTCGCTTATTATGTTTTATTTTAAATGAGCTGCTATTGTAGCTGAATGTAGTTATAGTTTCTCATCTTGTTGCATGCTCATCACTCCTTGCCAGTGCACGGTGGAATCATAAGTAATCGTCCGCTGAGAACCTACAGGTGGGTGCTGGGGTGTTAACAGTAGGTTTGATTTGTTGGAGGGAGAGATTGGGAAATGGGAGAGTTTGTTTGGAATATGATGTGAGGAGAGTGACACATGTTGCTGTATGTATGCAGTTCAGCTCGAGCTGACTTGGAATCACGGGTTTTGCTCCATTTGTGCTGTTTTTGAGTTACTGCTACTCTTTTGTTCAGTTCTCAGTCTTTGAGTTGAATAGATTGCTGTCTTATTAATGGATAGCTTTTCCCTAAACTTACTTCTGAAACTCTCCTTGAGAGAAAATCTGAGAAGAACGGGAGTCATAAAGTGCTGATAATCTTATCTAACTGTCTGGCTGAATCAATGGTAGAGCAAGGTTGTGTAAGAGCTTTACATATTTATTTCTAAAGCTTCTTTAATTCAGAGTGGTATAATAAAGTCATGATGTGAGGTTAAAGTTCCCCCTGACTTAAACCTGTGCCCATGTATTTTACTCAGATGTGCTTTTTTGCTCATTGTTATTCCTTTAACTTTCACACTTTGCTGGGTGAAAGTCAGTATGTGTTCAAAAATTGATATCTGGTGTAAGAAATTGTTGCCCTTAAAAAGTAACAGTTCTTTGAGGTGGACATTGAAAGAACTGGATAATTGGCAGGTAGGTTGTTCTCTTCACCTTGGGGTACTTGTACACAGTTTTTGTCGATATCTGCCCTCATGTAATCCCAGACTAAGTGATGATCACGACGCTATGAGGGGCATATTCTTCTGTGAGGGGCACATCCTTCTTTGGAGGGGTACTCGAGCCTGTGAGGGTGTAGCTGAGGGTTTTTTTTTTATATGGCTTTAACTGTATTTTTTTGGAGTTGTTGTCATGTTGCAGAAAGAACTTGAAGGCTTTTTGGACATTTATCTCTTTGCTCAACTTAAAATGATGTTTGAAACCACACACGGGAATGCTTATGATCACATTTAGTTTGAAAACCAAATGTTATCAAATATTAATTTCTTGTGCACTTGAAAAAAATTCAATTACTGTCAAATTCATATAATGTGAATTTCTGCATGTTTGGAGTATCGAGTGTTTCCCTTGCATCTAAGCAGTATATTTCAAAGCCCAGGACAGTTGTTTAAATTCTGAAATTAAACAAATTGGGTTTCGTGATATAGCTCCAGGCATTCAAATCTTTATTTATTCTCTTACAAAAAAAGAGCTTCACTGATTTTCTTGTAAGTCTTGCAGTTTGATAATCAGTCACAAGGGGGAAGCATTGCCACCTAACTTAATCCTCATGGCTTTGCCCCTCTATAC